GGAGGAGGAAGGGAGGGAAAGAATAAAGAGAGAGTTAAGGAGTAAGGATTATTTGTTTCCGGTGTTTGAAGTAGGAGAGATGAGGGGAGAGCCAGTGAGGGGAGAATGTGTTTCCCCTTTTAGAATGATATGAGAGGGGAGGAAGTAGGGGTAATGAGTAAAGGGAGTGGATAAAGGGGAAGGAGGAGTGAGGGAAGAGAGGGAAAAGAAGTGAGGGGTAAAGGAGAGAGATAAGGGAAGTGAGGAAGATAATTAGAGAAGTGAGGGGAGGGACGGAGGGAGAGAAGTCTGAGTGAAGTGAGGAGAAAGATTCCTTGCTGAGGCATATAGCTGAAAGGACACTGAACTCTCTCTCTCTCTCTCTCTCTGTTAAGGTTTAAGCGCACTTGAGGAACATTTTTACACGAGGAAATCAAAGTCTTAATAATATAATAACGAACTTTTGAATAACACGAGAGACCAAGAAGTAGAGTTAGAGCTACGTTCTATCACACTCTAACCTCATCATTCTATAGTTACTTTATAAGTTCAATAAAGATTATATTGTCATTCTTTTATAACTCAATTAGCCTATGTCGACCACTGAATTTACCCCCCTCCATCCTCCATAACTCCCCCTCCATCCTCCATAACTCCCCCTCCATCCTTCATAACTTCCCCTCCTTCCTCCATAACTCCCCCTCCATCCTCCATAACTCCCCCCTCCATCCTCCATAATTCCCCCTCCTTCCTCCATAACTCCCTCTTCCATCCTCCATAATTCCCCCTCCATCCTTTCCTAACTCCCCTCCTCCATACCTCCCTGCTCCCCTTCATCCTCCATAACTCCCCCCATCCTCCATAGCTCCCCCCCATCCTCCTGCTCCCCATCCTCCATAACTCCCCCCATCCTCCACCACGCTCCCCCATCCTCCCACCACTTTCCCCCCCATCTCCCTGCTCCCCTCCATCCTCCTGCTCCCCTCTATCCTCCACTGCTTTCCCCCCATCACCTCCTGCTCCCCCATCCTCCTGCTCCCCCCCATCCCTCCTGCCTCCCCTCCATCTCCCTGCCCCCCCTCCATCTCCTCCCTGCTCCCCTCCTCTCCATAACTCCCCCCCAATCTCCCTGCCCCCCTCCATCCTCCCTGCTCCCCTCCCTCCTCCACTCCCCCCCATCCTCCCCACTCCCCTCCATCCTCCACTGCTCCCCTCCATCCTCCCTCCCCCATCCTCCCTGCTCCCCCCATCCTCCATAACTCCCCCCCAATCCTCCATAACCCCCCTCCATTTAGTTAACAAAATATATGAGACCATTGAGTGTTACAAACTACGATATATATTAGCATTGAACACCATCAATTTCATAACAATATTTCCTGGCTTGGTGTTCCCTGTGCTTCTGCAGTAAAGGGGTTCAGTGTGTGGAAAGGGGTCTAGTATAGCTCGTGTGTGTCATAAAGGGGTCTAGTATAGCTTGTGTGTGTCATAAAGGGGTCTAGTATAGCTCGTGTGTGTCATAAAGGGGTCTAGTATAGCTCGTGTGTGTCATAAAGGGGTCTAGTATAGCTCGTGTGTGTCATAAAGGGGTCTAGTATAGCTTGTGTGTGTCATAAAGGGGTCTAGTATAGCTCGTGTGTGTCATAAAGGGGTCTAGTATAGCTCGTGTGTGTCATAAAGGGGTCTAGTATAGCTCGTGTGTGTCATAAAGGGGTCTAGTATAGCTTGTGTGTGTCATAAAGGGGTCTAGTATAGCTCGTGTGTGTCATAAAGGGGTCTAGTATAGCTCGTGTGTGTCATAAAGGGGTCTAGTATAGCTCGTGTGTGTCTTAAAGGGGTCAAATGTAGCTCGTGTGTGTCATAAAGGGGTCCAGTGTAGCTCGTGTGTCATAACGCTATCGTACTCAAGGGGACAAGGTATCGGACTCAATGGGACAAGCTATGGTACTCAACACCAAATCCAGTACACTCAATGGTTTAATTCATCGTACACAGGGGTTAAAGCCGTTACACTCAAGATCTTAAATCCCGACCCTCAAGAGCTTAAATCCGGGCACTGAAGGGCTTAAATCCGGGCACTGAAGGGTTTAAATCCTTTCATAGAAGTGTTTAAACCTCCCGTACTCGAGGGATTAATTTCTCCGCCAGTAGAAGTGTTTACCAAGGCCAGCCATGCGCACGGCTCGGCTCTCATTTACGTCTGAGGGGAGACCAAAAGAGACGTCCTGGCGGGGCTTCTCTACTTTAAGACCATGGTGTTCCAGGCTCCACCAGGCTCCACCAGGCTCTTGTAGATCACGGGGATTCTTTTTTTTTTGGGGGGATACGATTAATTGTAAGAGGGAGAGGAGGAAGGAAGGCGTAAGGGAAGAGAGAGGAGGGAAAGAAGAAGGGAGGGGATGGAGGGAAGGTAAGGTAAAGTAAATAGAGGCGAGGAAGGGATGAAAACGAAAGGATAGAAGCAGATGTGAGGGAGACTGGCTCTCTTATTGTGGTTATGTGGACTGATGAGGTTAAGCCACGTATATTTTTTTAGTTGGTCATGTTATGGAAGGAAGGAGAGAGGAGGGAGGATGAAGAAGAATAGAGGAGAGGAGGGAAAAGGGGTATTCAAGGATGTCCAGTTGTCCACCTTAGTGATCACGACGCCAGACAGCTTTGAGTCGTAAGTTAGTATATGTAACAGTGTTGACCTGTGGTAAGGCTGGGTGACGGGGGATGGGTGGTAAGGCTGGGTGGCGGGGATAGGTGGTAAGGCTGGGTGGCGGGGATAGGTGGTAGGTAGTGGGGGATGGATGGCGGATGGCAGCTGGAGGGGGATGGGTGGTGGGTGGCACATCAAAGTCAAGACCTAACGATGACGAACACTGATTGTGACCTCAGGAGGGGGGAGGAGGTGGGGGGTAGGGGTAGATAGAGGAAGGAGTCTGAGGGAGATGGTAAGGGGGGTAGGGATAGATGGAGGAGGGGGAAAGGTGAGGGGGTAGGGATAGGTGGAGGTGGTTGTAGAGGGGATGAGGTAGGTGGGGATTGGAGGGAAGTGTCAGAGTTAACATCTTGAAGGTCAGGTCATTTAAGGTCACACAGATCAGCAAGAAGTTGTCAGCAACAGCCTTGGTCACATATAACAATCTGTAAGGTATTTTTCTGAAACCTATTAGTAAATATTCTCCATAAATTGTTTAAATAATGAGTTATTTCCTCACATAAACAAATACAGTCACTCAGTCGACCAATGCTGGAACCTCCTCAAGGCCCATAACTCAACACAGAGACTCCCGCATCTTCAGAAAAGTTTCAAGATATTCGCTCAAGTGGTCGGGTTTCTTAGTGGCCAACAGAGTGTCACATTAACCATTATTTGGCACCACTGGTCACCCCGGATGATGTACGGGAGGGCGTGGGGGGTTCATTCTCAGGGCAAGACAGATATATATTGTTCCTGGAGCTAAATTAAAGGAATCCGTGAGACATGCGTGGAAAAGATGGATATGGGGGAGGAGAAGGAGATGGAGAAAGAGAGATGGATGTGTATGTAGAGGGGAGTGGAGGAGACAGAGAGGTAGAGAGGGTTATTTTTGAAGGAACTCTTAGAGGAGAGACACTTGAGGAGGAAGACGAAGTAAGAACAATAATCTTTTACTCGAGCCTCCACCAGCAATATATTATATATTGACGAAACATAACAAAAATTAACGAGAACTGTTATATTTTATCAACTGAAGAACATTTACACACAAGAACAGATTAGATATTTGTATTCTTTATTTATCACTTCACAACTTATATAGTTATGAATGGGTTTATTTTTATAACATTGCGACCAACAGTCAAGGCGAGCGTTATAAAGATAGACACATCGATATTACACAACACAACGCAACACAATACAGCACAACACAATACAGCACAACACAACGCAACACAATATAGCACAACACAACACTAGTCGTTATTGAGAGTCACCATAGCAGAGAAGCAACTTGTCCCTCTCTTCTTGAAACACGTCTGAAGATGAGCCTTATCCTCCTCCTCAGGCCTGACTCACCCAGCACCACCTCAATGGCCCGAAAAGATGGGGGGTCATTAGGTGACTGTGGACTATGGGGGAAGGAAGGGTGAGTGAGAGAGAGGACAGGGAGTGAGGAAGAGTGGGTGAGACTAAGGAAGGGTGAGTGACAGAGAGAACAGGGAGTGAGGAAGAGTGGGTGAGACTAAGGAGGGGTGAGTGACAGAGAGAACAGGGAGTGAGGAAGAGTGGGTGAGACTAAGGAAGGGTGAGTGACAGAGAGAACAGGGAGTGAGGAAGAGTGGGTGAGACTAGGGGGTGAGTGACAGAGAGAACAGGGGGAGGAAGAGAGGGTGAGACAGGAAGGTGAGTGACAGAGAGAACAGGGAGTGAGGAAGAGTGGGTGAGACTAAGGAAGGGTGAGTGGACAGGAGAGAACAGGAGTGAGGTGAAGAGGGGCAGACTAAGGAAGGGTGGGACAGAACAGAGGGAGTGAGGAAGAGGGTGAGACTAAGGAAGGAGTGAGACTAAGGAAGGGTGAGGACAGAGAGAACAGGGAGTGACAGGAAGAGTGAACAGGGAGTGAGACTAAGGAAGGGTGAGTGAGGTGAGACTAAGGAAGGGTGAGTGACAGAGAGAACAGGGAGTGAGGAAGAGTGGGTGAGACTAAGGAAGGGTGAGTGACAGAGAGAACAGGGAGTGAGGAAGAGTGGGTGAGACTAAGGTGACAGGGGTGAGGAAGAGTGGGTGAGACTAAGGAGGGGTGAGTGACAGAGAGAACAGGGAGTGAGGAAGAGTGGGTGAGACTAAGGAGGGGTGAGTGACAGAGAGAACAGGGAGTGAGGAAGAGTGGGTGAGACTAAGGAAGGGTGAGTGACAGAGAGAACAGGGAGTGAGGAAGAGTGGGTGAGACTAAGGAGGGGTGAGTGACAGAGAGAACAGGGAGTGAGGAAGAGTGGGTGAGAGTAGGTTAGGTTAGGTTAGGTTAGGTGAAGTTAGGCAGGAAACTTACCTGTATGGTGATATTCTCTCTTTACTCCATGATGACTACAGAGTTCTTGAAGAGGATAGTGGTAGTACGATGGTGGTAGTAGTTGTGGTGGTGGTGAGGTCTCTCCACGCACCACACTTAACACCTGCGGAGGATAAAAATGAAATTGTTGTTAGTTTCGTCAATTGTGGTGGTGACGATAGTAGAAGTAGTGATGGTGGTGCTGGGATGGTGATGATGGTTATTATAGTGGTAGTGGTGAGGATGGTGTTGAGAGAGACTGTTTTATTTCTTCCTCTCAACCTACACTTGAACCACTCCTCCAGAGAATGGGGCGAGTGGGAGTGGGAGGGAGTGAGAGAGAATAGGAAAAAAGAATGAGGGAGAGAATAGGGAGTGATAGTCGGTGAGAGTGAGGTAGAGTGGGCGAGAGTAGTGAAGAGCGAGCGAGAGAGAGTGAGTGAGGAGCGAGATAAAGTGTGTGTGAGAGTGAAGTAGAGAGAGAGAGTCGGGGAGAGTAAGGTGAAAGGAAAGTCAATTCTATATACGATCTGGAACGGGAGAAAGTGGGAGGGGAGGGGGAAGAGGAGAAGGAGTATTGTAATCGCTCTATGTTCGTTCCTCTTTTCCCTTCACGTCTTCCTACCTTCCCTCTCTCCTCCCCTTCCCTCCCTCCTCCCCTTCCTACCCTCCCTCCTCCCCTTCCTACCTTCCCTCCTCCCCTTCCTACCTTCCCTCCTCCTTCCTGCCTCCTCCCTTCCTCCTTCCTCCTCCCCTTCCTACCTTCCCTCCTCCTCCCCTTCCCTACCTTCCCTCCTCCCTCTCACCTTCCCTCCCTCCTCCCCCTACCTTCCCTCCTCCCCCCTTCTACCTTCCCTCCTCCCCTTCTACCTTCCCTCCCTCCCCTTTCCTACCTTCCCTCCTCCCCTTCCCTACCTTCCTCCTCCTTCCTCACCTTCCCTCCTCCCCTTCCTACCTTCCCTCCCTCCCCTACCTTCCCTCCTCCCCCTTCCCACCTTCCCTCCCTCCTCCCCTTCCTACCTTCCCCTCCCTTCTTCCCTTCCCCCTTCCTCCTTCCCTCCCTCCTCCCCTTCCTACCTTCCCTCCTCCCCTTCCTACCTTCCCTCCTCCCCTTCCTACCTTCCCTCCTCCCTTTCCTACCTTCCTTTCACGTATTCCTTCCCTTCCCTTCCCTTAACAACCCCTTCACTCCAAGTCGATGGTTTGAGAGTAACTATATAGGTAACATCATGAACCTAACCGGTGTGTTCGTGTGACTGAGTGTGTGTCTGTCACGCGCGAAAGAAAGATTAAAACATAAACATTCGTAAACAAATGAAATCTTGATATATTGGGCCCCATTTTTCTCTACCTGTTGCACCTGTCATTATATGTTGCAAAACGTAAACACACCAACAAGACAAATCATTCAAGACCAGTTATCACCACAAGATATTTTATTTTATTTTATCTTTTGGGGGGAGACTTAGTAGATCTTTATAATTTTTCTCTTTATCATAACAACTACAAAATATCAACAAGTCGTGGTTTTTCAAGTTTGTATTACGTAATGTTTTTGTTTTGTTATCTTCTCTTCCCTGTAACACCTGCCATCACTCGGCGTCTTATAGTCTACAGCTGCCAACAGCACTCTAGGTATTACCATCATTACCAACGTTACCATAAAAATTACCAGCATTACCAGCATTACTATCAACATTACCAACGTTACCATCAAAATTACCAGCATTACCAACAGTACAAGCATTACCAGCATTACTATCAACATTACCAACGTTACCATCAAAATTACCAGCATTACCAACAGTACAAGCATTACCAGCATTACTATCAACATTACCAACGTTACCATCAAAATTACCAGCATTACCAACAGTACAAGCATTACCAGCATTACTATCAACATTACCAACGTTACCATCAAAATTACCAGCATTACCAACAGTACAAGCAATATCAACATTACCAGCAACTTTACCAACACTATAATCTGAGGGCTGACCACCAAGCACGCCACCTGTCATGCTAGGTAATGACTCATTTTTCCATTGTGAGGTGGAGATCGTCACTGTTCCCACTCTACGGTGAACTGTGTGTCTGGTAAGGCATAGTTCTACCATTCTTAGAGTTCCTTCACGCTGCTGGAGACTCATAACCACAGTTCCTTCACGCTACTGGACACTCATAACCACAGTTCCTTCCCGCTACTGGAGACTCATAACCACAGTTCCTTCACGCTGCTGGAGACTCATAACCACAGTTCCTTCACGCTGCTGGAGACTCACAACCATAGTTCCTTCCCGCTACTGGAGACTCATAACCACAGTTCCTTCACGCTGCTGGAGACTCATAACCACAGTTCCTTCCCGCTGCTGGAGACTCATAACCACAGTTCCTTCACGCTGCTGGAGACTCATAACCACAGTTCCTTCACGCTGCTGGAGACTCACAACCATAGTTCCTTGATGGTAGGAACACAGCCACTCTCCATCATTATTAACCTGTCTTCAATATATTACAGTTGTATAGATCCACCTACAAGCAAACAAACACACACACACACACTAACTAATACAGAATAATCAAGCTTAGAGTGTGTGTGTGTGTGTGTGTGTGTGTGTGTGTGTGTGTGTGTGTCAGCTTACAATCAAAACACAAACTATTCCGCCAGACTTGATTAAACTTCTCAGTGTTGCTGTTTGTCAAGAGAGAGACTACCTCAAGTTAGTAGACGAAAGGTCAAAGGTCAAGATATAAATAGTCGTGTTCAGAGGTCAAGGTCAGAGCGCGACGTCGGGTCATCAATGATACTTATTTTCTTCCTGCAAGAATATAAATATTGAGAATGTACAGTTCATAGTAGGTGTTAAAAAAGGCCGCCGTCTTGATCTATGCTGACTTTAGTTCACTGATAATCACTACTTTATTCGGTGCAGTTATGTTACAAGATTTGTTAAGACAGGTTATTTAACCAGTGCCTAGAACGAAGGTTAATGTTTTGTGAGATTTATATTGATTAATGTGAAAACTGGTTAATTGGTTAGGTTATATTTATAGGTCGAGGTTAATATATTGTGCAGTGTAGTAGTGTTTATGTGATACAAGTTCTGGATAATTTGTCATAGATAATGTGTCAATAGGCTAAAGGGTTAAAGCCACAGTCACGGTCAAAGTTCAGGTTCATCATAACAGTGAGTGGTAACTGTACGTCATGAGGCAGAATGTTGTTAATGTGAAATTTGAGGTGAGTGTGATGACGCGTTACTATAGTCAGAGAAGGAGGACGATAAGGCTGTGTCACTCTCAGCGGCATCAAGTTATAAACAGCCAGCAGAAGTCTCACATGTCGCCTTAGGTCCCTCACTGTCCCATGAACGCCATGTTTTCAGGGACAAAACTATCCAGGCTCTTTGATTTAAGGTGACAGAGGGAAACAGCGTCTTCCTTTTCGATCATGATTATCACACGGGGGTCGGCCTCACCGTCTCCTCGCTCTAGTACATGAATGACTCGGGATGATGGCGACAGCTGCCTCAGATATTCTTACAACAATCTTCTTCTCTGCAGAGGCGTTCTTGTCTTGTAGGCGGAGCTGCAGCAGGAATGGGAAACGAGAACCAGGAGACCTTGACGTACACAGTCGTGATGAGAAAAAATGAACGTATGAACACTTTTATTTCCCTGGAGGTTGTGGAGGTTGAGGTGGAACTGCCCCCCCCCCCTCCCCCATAACCAGGTCTTTATGGAGCACATTATTTTTGTCACCCATGGAGACTGTTTCATGGCAACTGAGGCCGTGAACCTAATACCTTGAGGAGAAAACTGCCCCCAGCAAGATAACCATAACTCCCGGTACGTTGAGGTAGTCTTCGATAAAATACTTTCTTACCAAAGTCTTCCTGCAGTATTTCTGAGCCTCACTCTCAAGTTGATCATCGAGGGCCGAAGGCGTGGGAGCAGCCCTCATCCTCCAGCCGGGGTTGATAGCTCTTCTTGGCTACGTACCCCCATTGCCCCTTGAAGTGCTTGAAGAGACCAATCTCCGGTCGGGGGAGACGGACCAAGACACTGAGTGAACACATCTCCCACGACTACCTCAAGAACATTTTGTTGCCGGCAAGTCATGTGGAACAGATCCCTGTCGGGTATAAGTTTTTAATCAAGGGAAAGACTCCAGCAGCAGGACGACTTGTGTTGGTGGCTGTCGTATAAACATTTAGTCTTTACTCGACCTACGACAACCCAATCTTGCGGAGTGCTGACGACACATGTGGACTAACTCACTGGCTGACGGTCTCCTAACTCCGGAACTTCCAGGAACTGATCTACTCCATCACCGGAAACAAGGACGAGGAAGCTGTTGAAAAATGTGTTTAAGTTATATCAGGCGGCAGCTTCCCGTCCAGTGAACAGCGGGAGGGTCTTAAGGAAGTTGTTTCCCACAGTGTTAGTTCTCTGCTGTCCTCGCTGGCTCTCTGCCGTCCTCGCTGGCTCTCTGCCATCCTCGCTGGCTCTCTGCCGTCCTCGCTGGCTCTCTGCCGTCCTCGCTGACTCTCTGCCGTCCTCGCTGACTCTCTGCTGTCCTCGCTGACTCTCTGCCGTCCTCGCTGACTCTCTGCTGTCCTCGCTGACTCTCTGCTGTCCTCGCTGGCTCTCTGCCGTCCTCGCTGACTCTCTGCTGTCCTCGCTGGCTCTCTGCTGTCCTCGCTGGTGATCGTCGGTTCATGGCTAATCTGGATGTGTCTTGGCCCAGACTCTGAGAAGTTGATATTTATGGGAGTCGGTTTCAGATAGACTCGAGAAGCTAACGTAACGTAACGTAACCGACAGACGCCATTACAGACATCCACAGCGATAGGAATGTTATGTCACTCGAGCGTCACCATTAGGAAGTCTGAATCTATATGAAGAAATATACAGTACACTTGAGCGATTCCTGGATGTTGATTGAGGTGAAATTTAATAAAAAGCGCTTCCAAAATATTGTTGAGATACATACATACTTACGTGGTGATATCTTGTAGAGTCTTAGCACTAGTTTGCCTTCATTAGTCACCCCACAAGTCCCGGGTCAAGGTCAGACGGTCCAGCAGTCTTGACTGTTAATAATGTTAGTGTGTGACGGTGGCTGGTGGGGGGAGGCTGGGGAGTGGGGAAAGAGGTCTGGGAGAATGGGAAGAGGGGGCTGGGGAGAGGGGAGGTTGGGGGGCTGGGGAGAGAAAAGGTTGGGGGCTGGGGAGAGAGAAGGTTGGGCTGGGGAGAGAGGAGGTTGGGGGCTAGGGAAAGAGAAGGTTGGGGCTGGAGAGAGGTGAGGTTGGGGCTGGGGAGAGAGGAGGTTGGGGGCTGGGGAGAGAGGAGGTTGGGGGCTGGGGAGAGAGGAGGTTGGGGGCTGGGGAGAGAGGAGGTTGGGGGCTGGGGAGAGGGGAGGCTGGGGGCTGAGGAGAGGGGAGGCTGGGGGCTGAGGAGAGGGGAGGCCCCAGACACCGCCATGTCTCTTCATTAAATCAGGACTTACATTGTACTCTCCATACAAGTCAATATAATTTATCATCAAAATAACTTAGATTTTATGATCGTTAAATAAGAAAAATATTATGATTAGCTCTAAGTTTGGATGATGATAATAATAATAATAACAACAAAATATCTTAGACCAAACTTTTCCACCTGTGTCACCACAATCAACAAACTGTACAGGTATATCCCAGTACACCTTCCATCGTCAGCCACAGCAAGATACCATATACATCACAGCAGCTTTATCCTTCCCGGGTGACAAAAACACAATAAAAAATATAAATCTTCCTCTCTGTAGTGATCTAGTAGGTCATTTGTGACGAATATTGTGTGTATTAAACGGTTCCTGTGTTTCTTCCCATCTCCAGCATCGCAGAGTTGGAAGTAATGAATTTGGGTGGAGAGGAACCAGAATTTATCAGGAGGAAGCTATAACAACCGTGCCTGAGGGGGTATTTGAGAGGTGGGAGGAAGGGGTTGGTTGGATGGGGGATGTAAAGATGGGGTAGGGGGAGTTTGGGAGAAGGGTGAGGTGAGGTTGGGGGGGTGGGGAAGAGTAGGGACAGCGTAGGGTGACTGGTGGGGGAAGGGGGGAGGTGGTCTCCGTCTTGTAATATTGCAGACTACAAAGTTTGTGTTATTTAAGTGTTAAATTCATCTCCAAAATGTTCCTATTATTTAATATCCGGCTTAGTATTTGTAACATCCGGCTTAGTATCTGTAACATCCGGCTTAGTATTTGTAACATCCGGCTTAGTATCTGTAACATCCGGCTTAGTATTTGTAACATCCGGCTTAGTATCTGTAACATCCGGCTTAGTATTTGTAACATCCGGCTTAGTGCTTATAACATCCGGCTTAGTATCTGTAACATCCGGCTTAGTATTTGTAACATCCGGCTTAGTACATATAACATCCGGCTTGGTATATGTAATATCCGGCTTAGTATCTGTAACCGGCCGTCTGTCTGAGGAGTTGTATCGGACTTCATTTTCACCCCTTACATATTCCAAGATTCCATTTCATCTTCATTCCAGTATGATTTCATTCACACCTTATTCCAGGATTCCAAGTTGCTAGGAATTAAACAGGAAAGAAACTGTAATTAGTACATGTTAATTACCGGTACTGTTTCTGATGATTTATTCCAGGAAGACTCAATACCCTTGTTTGTATGTATGGTTAAGTCCCTTCATACTTCTTAATAGATGTTGTTTTAATGTTGATTATAATTCCCATGTATGTACAAACACACACATACGCATGCGCACCTTCTCTCACACACACATACGTATGCGCACATTCACTTGTACACACACACACACACACACACACACACATCAGCTGATAGCATCTCTACTACAGCTTAATGATGAGCGTTTACTCAATTAACGATGATAACAATAATTAAGATATTCTCTCTCTCTCTCTCTCTCTCTCTCTCTCCCCGCTGTGTGTGTGTGTATCAAAAGTGCCTTGTGGGTATTTGACATCTTACACACACACACAATTGGGATTACAAATATTTGACAACCGACCTAACGTAACCTAACCTAGCCTCAGCTACAAGAAGTTAACGCCGAAATTACCTGACAACTCACGGGGTGGAGGATATATACACGGGGTGGAGGATATATACACGGGGGGGGATGGGTGGGGGATATATACACGGGGGGGGGTGGGGGATATATACACGGGGTGGGGATATATACACGGGTGGGGGATATATATACGGGGTGGAGGATATATACACGGGGAGGATATATACACGGGGTGGGGATATATATACACACGGGGTGGGGGATATATACGGGTGGAGGATATATACACGGGTGGGGTGGGATATATACACGGGTGGGGATATATACACGGGGTGGGGGATATATACACGGGGTGGGGGATATATACACGGGGTGGGGGATATATAAACATGTATTTATCACTTAACGCTACATTAGTTTGGGTTGTGACTCAGACTGAAGGCTTATCACTGCGATAACTCCCGTCTCTTGGTAAGGGGATGAGTTAGTAGTGTGTCCGCTGTGTGATCACTAAATTACCAGCCTTAAGATATGAAGCTTTATGTAAACATTGACCAATTAATGTTAAGGTGACGCTATGACTAACCTGTGTCGGCGGAGGAGGCAGCGGCGGCGGTGGTGATGGTGAGCCAGGCACGACGAGGCTGTTGACAGAGGGAAGCTACCACTGGGTTTCGATTTTTCCCCCAGGACGTTGTAGAGAAGGAGGAGGAGGAGGAGAGGGAAGGAGTAGGGAGTAGGAGGAAGAGGAGGAAGAGGAGGAGGAACGGAGACCCGGTTTAACACATGGGCCCCCAACACCCGCTGAGCCCGGGCCAAATGGTCCTCTTCATATTTTCTGGTTGATACTCCCGCTCACTCTCCTGTATCTTCCTGGGGACAAAAACTCCTTCCCTAGTTCCTGTGGGAGTTTGGGTGTCGTAGGGGCGTCACACACTAGCATTCGTATTATCGTGTTTGTGTGTTTGTATTTTTTCTCTCTCTTATTCACATTCGTTCCATTATTAAAGATGAATTCTACTATGAATTTTCCAACACATCCAGCGATTCTGAGTCCTGCGTTGCTTCCTGTCTTATCGGATGAGTCAAGGGAGGTGCTTGCATAGTTCCGTGTTGGTTATCTGTCTGCCTGCCTGATGTATGCTATAGCGGCGAGTCATTGCACTATGAAAGAATATAAGAGCCAGTCCACCCTGCCTCACCGACTCCCAAACGTCAACTGGGGAAGAGGAACTTGGGTCACGCCTGGCTTTACGGGATTCAAGGGCGGTACGATACGTTTATGTCAAAAGCCGTGTCACTTGCTACTGCGACTGTACCCTGAACTTTATGCCCTCTGAACAACACAAAATATCACCTTAATATCACTTACATCCAGGAACTAAGTCATACCGAACAAGTCTGGATTATATAACAGGATAGCTGTATTGATGTGACCGGATGCTGTGCTCGTACGCCCGCCAGCTACTGGTGTTGCATCTCCCAAGGGAGCATCGATCCCAGATGGAAACGAAGCCTGATAACATCACTCATTTTCATTCATTTTCTAATCCTTGTCAAACTTCACTCTAAAGGGAGAAATTGAGGTCTTATAGATCTATAAACCCCTATATATCACTTATAAGGTATATTAATGGTAGAGCGACACCTACAACTTACCTAACGGGTTATAAGTTCGAGTAGTTGACGATAGTTTGACCCTGTGACGTCATACCCAGCTGTGTTTATGGTAGTTTGACCCTGTGACGTCATACCCAGCTGTGTGTGTAGAGGGGGTGTTTGTGTGTCTGTATAGGCTATGTCTGTGTGGGTCCCTCTCACCCCCACACTCCCTACCACTCCACTACTAGTTCCCCTTAACCTCCCCCCCCCACACACACATACACACCCTTAACCTTGATTACCACCAGTTACAGCCTGGGGAAAAAAATAGCCCAGAGTTGCTTGCATGAGTTTATTGGTAGCAGCTCAGACCAGCAAGAGGGTCCAGGTTTTTCTCTTTTTTTTGTGGTGTTCAGTTAACTCAAAGCCTCTCTCCTCTCCTGACCTAACTGCTTGATGGTTTTCGTGTATGAGGGATTTTTTCTGGTCGTTAAGTATGGCTTTATGTACACGTATACTCTTTTTTACCCAGGTGGATCTTCTCCCTTCTAACCATCCCTATATACCATGTTATTCCTCACTGTATATTTTTCCACAGGACGAACAAGAGCTAACGTGTCAAGAAGCTGTAGGCGAATCACAGCCTGGCATACGGCCTGTCACTAGCCAAGCGGATAATATATGTTACTTATTAACATCTATTAGGAGGAGAGTACCGCAAGAGTTACTCCCTTACTTTTCCTCACTCTTACTTGTCCTTTTACTTTTTCGTTCTCTCTCTCACTTGTTTTTCCTCCATCTTTCTCGCTCTCCCTCGTCTTCCTATTCCCCCACTCTTTCTTCCCCTCTCTCTCGCCCTCCCTCACCCTTTCCACCTCTCCCTCATTCTCCCCTCTCCCTCCCCATCCCCCTTACTCTCCCTCGGGTACTCAGTCGTTGTGGTAAAAAAAAACTCTAACTCCCTCTGCGTCAATCGCCAGGAGTATAGTTAGGTCGGTCCCTCAGGCAGAATAACAACAAAAAGTTTCCCCTCATATTTTACTGTGAACAATGAAGAGAAATAGACCCTAGTATGTTGTGTGTGGGGGCGGGGGTGTGGGAGGAGGGGGGTTGGGGTGTGGGAGGAGAGGGGTGAGGGTGTGCGTGTAGGGAAGTCCTTTAAAATGTGTCCATTGGTCACTCAAAAATATAATTTATCATCTCACTCCCTCCTCTAATCCCTAAGCCCCCTCCCTACCGCACCTAACACAACCCCTTCCTTTAACACCTAACCCCCTAAACTAACCCCTCTTCCCCTAACCTCCTCCTCCCCCTCTTCCCCCAACCTCCTCCTCTCCCCCCTTCCCCTTACCTCCTCCTCTCCCCTCTTCCCCTTACCTCCTCGTTTTGCACCTAACCCACCTCCTCCTCCTCCATCACCCTTAACCCAACCCCACCCTCCTCTACCACCCTTAACCCAACCCCACCCCTCCTCTACCACCCTTAACCCAACCTCCCCTTCTCTAACCCCTAACTTAACCCCCTCTCCCCTACCACCTAACAGCCCTTTATGCCCCTATAGCATAATGTCTTGTAACCAACTAACATTTTTGTAGACAGTTTCTCTGATAATAAATTTGTTTAGGTCGCCGTAGGCCTAAACCTTTAAGTGTAAGAGGATCTTTACTGGTGACATTTTCTTGGTATTTTATTTTTATTATTATACATTAGGATGTTTGTGTTGTCTGGTTTATGTGAAGTTGTGAGGAAATTGTTTCTTTTCGGTGATGTTCTTGTGGTGTTTTGTTGTTGTCTGTCTGTCTACCTGCTTTACTCTCTGTCTCTCTCTCTCTCATTGTGGACATTGAATAATGATATTATTGATGATAAATGTAAAGAATATATCTAATAATAAACTATATGATAATAACAATAATATTAATATACAAAACTGACCCAAAAAACGAAAAGCAAAAACACAAGAAAAACTATAGAGGATATAATTAGCCGCAATAAGTGAAAGAACCTCATATTTGCCCCGGTATCTAACTCTCCTAAACATGGGAGCTGAGCATCAGTTGTGGAGATTGGATCTTATAAACTTGACCCAATACTATAGACACGAGACAAGAACCAGACGTTTATACACGCTCTTGTCTTGTCTTTACCCCCGTGTCTGGTGAATGCCTTCACCTCAGAAAATGGATATGACTAAACTGTTTATTCATGCGTGTGTTTGTCTGCGGTTTAAGTCTGTTGTTGACATCTGTTAGGTCGGAATTTGTGAACCTGTTGTATGAATGTATAGTGTAGTGTAGTGGACCTTTAATAGTTTGATGGATATAAACTTTTTAGGGAAATTCAAGTTTGGAGATTATGTAAGTTTTAGGGGAAAATGTTCGTTTGGGGGAAAATTCTTCTTCTTCCTCCCTCTTGTCCCCCCCCCCCCTTCCCCTTCTCTTTCTCTCATTCTCCCTCACTCCCTCCCTCCCTCTCGTCATTCTTCCTCACTATCTCCCACCACCTCCCTCATTTTTCCTCCCACTTCCTCACTCTCCATCCCTCTTCCTCTGACTCCTTCACTCTCTTTCCCTCTTAATCGTTTGTGAGGCGGCCTGATCGCTCACTACCTCTGTGTGTTGACAAATGTATCGTTGGGTCGTGTTTTATTTTCATTCCATTTGTAATAATTCAGTGCCTCAGCTAGTGGTCTTCATGCTGGTTCAACAAAGTCTCCGTCAGATGGCTTTCATGTCTCCTATCCTCACTAACTAGGAGACAAGTAGTATCACCTCTAGAAACATCATTATCGTCTCTCATTATGGATGCAATGTCATTATTTTTCCAGTTATTCTCATTGTTAGAAACCGACTTTTTTCCATGCTAAGAAATTAAGACCAGTGTTGTCGTCATTATCATCTTTATCATCATCATCATCATTATCATTATCATCATCATCATCATCATCATCATCATCATCATCATCAGACTAAAGACCACCATCACCATACAGCTATACAGTCATCATCACTATCATGCAGGCTGTAGGTCCCTCAAGTCTGGTCATGCAGCTTTAAATCACAACCCAGAGGACTATCATGACGCAGTTAGTATAGGAATTTACTACTACTACTACTTCTTCACTCTTAAGACCACCATCGCTAAGACCATCAAACACACTCAGCTAAGACCGCTCGTTAAGGCACTCCCTCCCTACCTCATCATAATCATCACACACAAAACCTCTTCTAAGTGCACTCCGAGTTAAGATCTCTCCCCCCACGCTCTTAACTCAAACATCCACCCCAATCCAGCCCTCCCCCTTCTCTGCCCTGACTAAGCCATCGCCAGCAAGCCCTCTACAAGCAGCGTCTAGCGAGGGCTTGGCACAGAGGCTCGTAAAAAAACTCCAGAGTCCATTGACGAATCTTATTCAGATTGTGTCTTTCTTCAACATGGTGGGAGGAGAGAAAGAGGGTGAGGGAGAGGAAGGGGAGGAATGGAAGGGTAAGGGAGGAGGAGAGGTGAGAGGGATAGGAGGGTGAAGAAGTGAGGAAGGGGAGTAGGAGAAGGGATGTGAGGGAGAAGGGTGAGGAGGATATGTGAGGGAGGGGGAAGAATAGATGGTAGGGTGAGGGAAGAGGAGGGATGGAATGGTGAGGGAGGGGAGAAAGAAGTATTTTTGTTTGTCCATTTTTTAATGATCGGAGCAAACTGGATATTAAAGTCATTAACTTTTAAGTCTTACCATAAAATAGACTGTGTGTGTGTGTGTGTGTGTGTGTGTGTGTGTGTGTGTGTGTGTAGAAATAATAATAATAATATTAATAATAATAATTAACGGTTTATTAAAAGAGCATGGCAGCCGGAAGGCTGAAAATCTACAGTTGCATAATTGGGGAATGGGTTTCTTGATTGACAAATAATATACAAGTAACATAAGTTATACTACAGGGCATTTCAACATAATGAGCGTGAAAAGGGTAAGATTGACTGGGAGTGAATACACTGGTTAATTACGAAACTTTTTACAATGGTTGGGACTGGGATGTTCTTATAGCGATCATTACGTGCTCGTATGGGATGGATGCGGTTGTGGTGTCGAACAGCATTTCGTGAACGAGAGATCTCGGGTGGTAGTAGGAGCCGGTGTCGAGGATGGTACAGAAACTTCTCACCAAATTTGCAGATGAGGTCGTGGTGATGGTCAGAGAGAGCCGAGAGGGTCAGTGTGTTAAGCGCTTCTTGATATGTGGAGTAGGAAGGGGAGAGAATATTCTTGCATGCCCTCTTATGCACTTTTTCTAGGTGTTTACGTTGTGTGGCATTTAGGGAGGAAGACCAGGTGGGGGAGGCATAGGTGAGCTTGGGAAGTATGAATGTTGAGTAAACACTGAGGAGCTCGGGTGCAGGAACTCCGAGGGACTTGAGTCGGTGGAGGAGGTGGAGACGGAAACTGGAGGATTTGACAACTTCACTGACGTGTGTTTTCCAATTTAGTTTGTTGTCTATGGTGACGCCGAGGAGCTTAGTGGAATCTACAACCTGGAGTGTGTTGGGGACTAAAGTAATCAGAGGGGGTGGGACAACGTCGGAGGAGAGGTTGATTGTGTGTGTGTGTGCGTGTGTGTG